TAAAATATGTTTTTACACGCATACTCCACTGATGGTAAATTTTCCATTAGTTTTCCTAGTAGTGTCCAAGAATAATAAAATTACAAAGAAACGTGCAAAAAGTGAGTTACGTGATGTAGTTAAACCATCAAAGCTCTGGACTTTATACCTTTATAGAAAGCGGAAATAGGGTCGCCGGTACAGGAGGTAGCAATAACCCCTAAGCTCTGCTGTGGAATAAGAGGTCACGTTATTGAGGTCAGCAGGTGGTATTTTCTCTTCAGCATGTTTTTATAACAACCGAGAAAGCGAGTACTGCATATCCCCATAACAATTGCCTGAAAAAATTTCACTCTGGTGAGTTTTCTCTATTTTTATATACTAACCCAGTCATAAAACTATTTGTTTTTCTCGTCGAAACGCGCTTTGTACTTTTTCACTCTCAATCACAATATTTCATTGGATATTATTGAGTTTATTAAATGAATTTAATCAAACATTTTCTTGTCCGCGGGGCAGAAATTAAAAAAAATTCAATTTTTCTTTTATAACAGAGTAAACAATAAATATTACATTTTTTTCTAAGATAATTTGATTTAACGCATAGTGGTACAAGATTAGGAAACGAGATAATAAGTCTTCATATCGCGTAAAATGAAAAACTCTTTTTTAAAAATTTAAAAAATGTTTTGTTTAGAGAATGTTAAATTAAGCGTTAAAAAAATATGTACTATCTAAAAGGACTAATTTACTAATTTTCATTAAAATTGATATTTTTCATGCATATCTCTTAAATAACTCACTATAATATAAATACTCAATATAAAAAACTAACTTTTTTTTAAGAGAATAGTAAATAACTTTGGATAATTAGAATATTATTTCGTTTCAAATTGGTAAACTTTAATTATACCGGACACTACACTGCATACGTATATTCAAGTTGGCATAGGCAAAGCATTAATTTGGAAAGCTAGAAAACAAAAAGACTGTTTCTCTTATGAACGCCGAGGCCGAATAAATGGCTTTTCGTATGATGCAGAAAAAAGGTTTTTATGTAGGTCATTTTTTTCACAAAGCTATTATACATTTTTCTAACAAATCAAATTATTTAAAAATCGCTAGAATAGAGTATATTAAATATAAAATATTCAATAATAGTTTCTTTCAAAAAATGATAGATATTTTATAATAAATTCATCCTTCTAGAAAAGCTTTTGAATTTCTTCAATGATAGAATATTTTAAAAAACTTTTACATATCTAGTGTATCTCTAAGAGTACTCCAACATTTTGAAAAAATTAATTTTTTATTAACAGTTTCTTAACACCCTCGCAGTTATGACCAAAATCTTATAATTGGGCTCAAAGTGTCACTAACTTTTTGAAAAACTAAAATTTGCGCAAACGATTAAACTATTGTATTTGAGGTAGCTGATTACGCATCTTGTATCAAATTTTAAAAATTAAAAATGGCGGATTCAATATGGCAGACGAATTTTTTAAAAATTCATTGGATTTACTTGAAACTGTTTACTCGGAGTTTTGAGGATCGCTGATAACGAATCCGATGTCAATTTTTAAAATTCAAAATGGCGGATCTAATATGACGGATAATTTTTTTAAAAATGTCAAAAAATTAAAATTTTTATTTTAAATCTTATGAATCTGAGATCAAAATCAGAATTTAATACGAATATAAATATGTAACTATATGAGTATATTTTTCTATTCCAAAAATTCAGTACCGTGTTCTTTCAGTTTCTTTACAAATTTATAAAAGAGAGACGATTAGCTTGTAGATTCTCTGTCGAGAGTACTTTCTTACTGACCTTGAATCTTCTTTTGAAAATTTAACATTGCAAATATTGCTTTTTCGTTTTATTATCCGAATTTCTACACATATACAGTTATATAAATATGACGTTGAATTAAGCGTCTTATTAAATAGTGTGCGTCGGAGTTAGCCCTAAGGCACGTTCCTGACCTAATAAAACTTACAAAGGCTACCAAGATAAAAGCTCTACAGTTTCAAGTTTAATAAGAACACCCTATACATATAATAGAAAAATAGAAAGTTAAAATCTAACTTACAAAGAAAATTAGCCAAGTATTCTCTCGACATATGCAATATAGTTGTACTCTATCAGACTGCATTCAAATTTTTAAAGAAAGACGTTTCTAAAGATTTTACTTTTTATTTTAATTTAAAGTTATTCATGTACGTAGGGGAATATACTCAGGGTTGGACACCGTTTTGGACTTTGTTTATAATCTTTTTAAAAAAAATAAAGGATGAGGGTCAATAAGGCCGTTTTTTGGACCCTCGTCAAATCCGTTGCTATTATGGAAAATTTGACCTCCTTAGTATGCCAGACAATCTCCCCAAACCATTTTTTGATTTATCAGAAAATACCGGAAATAACTCATCCTAAGAAATTGTAAAATACATGGGATTCGGTACATCTCAGCAGAAATTAGTTAATTTTAATTATTAATTTAGTAACCCCGGTCGCCAAACTTTCCCAAAAACTTTGTACATATGCAGCGAAGAAAATATGTCAGTATGAGCGATTTTCATTAAGAGCCGGGACAAAAAATTCAAGATGACGGATCCAATATGGTGGTCGAGTTTTTGAAAATCGAATGTAATTCGCTGAAAACTTGTTACTCGGGGGTTTTTGGGTTCGCTGATTACGAATGTGATGTCAGATTTGCAAAATTCAAAATGGCGGATCTAATATAGAGGACATAAAAATAAAACATCCAATATAAAGACAAAAAATTTTTAAATTGATTAGATTTGGTTGAAACTTGTTACTCGGGGGTTTATGGCTCGCTAATTACGAATCTGAAGTCAAATTTTCAAAATTAAAAATGGCGGATCTAATATGGCGTACATAAAAAATAAAATTTGATCGTATTGAATTGAAACTTGTTATATATTATATGTCCGCCGTATTGAATCCGCCATTTTGAATTTTTAAAATCGGACTTTAGTTTCGTAATCAGCGACCCCAAAAATCCCCAAGTAACAAGTTGCAAGACAATATGATCAAGTTCTATTTTTATGTCCGCCATGTTGAATTCTAAAAATCTGACTTCAGATTTGTAATCAACGACCCCAAAAACCCCCGAGTAATAAGTTTCAAGCAAATCTGGTTAATTAATGTTAATAAAAAATGATATATTTCACAAATAAATAAAGTTATTGCAATCCTGAAGGTACCAATTGAAAGCTGACGTAATTCCACATCCAACGAGCCTTATATGAAGTAGGTACTTTGGATTAGTGGATTGTTAATAAACAATTACAATGTTAGCCAATTGTTTATTAACAATCCACTAATCCAAAGTACTTTATATAAGGCTGGTTGGATGCGGAATTATGTCAACTTTCATTTAGTTACGTCAGAATTACGATAACTTTATTTGTTTAAAAAATATATCATTTTTTATTAACATTATTTAATTAATTAATTAATATCTCGAAAATATCAAAAAAGAACATCTCAATACTTTTGAGGTAAAAATGCACATTTTTAATTTTCAAAAAAAATAATTAATTAATTAAAAAAAAACAGACCTTAAAAAGAAAGTCAAAAAATTTTTTTGATTTTCAAAAAAAGGGTCAAAGTTTGAATTTTTTTCACCAATCGAAAAAGCACAAAAAACCTCTGGAAAACATATATGTCAAAATTTTTTTCATCTACTTATATAATATTTACAATTTTTAGTTTATTAATTAACTTTTAAGGTTAATGAAAAATGATATATTTTATAAACAAATAAATTTATCGTAATTCTGATGTTACTATATAAAAGTTGACATATTTCCGCATCCAAAGAGCTCTATATCAAGTACTTTGGATTAGGGGTATGTTAAGAATCAATTGGTTAACATCGCAATTGTTTATAAAAAAACCCTTAATCAAAAACAGTCCATATAGGGCTCGTTGGATACAAAATTACGTCAGATTTCAATTGGTACCTTTAGGATTTCAATAACTTTATTATTTGTGAAATATATAATTTTTTATTAACATTAATTAATTAATTAACTAATATCTCGAAAATAACAAAAAAGGGATATCGAAATATTTTTGGTGGTAAAAATACACATTTTTAACTTTCAAAAAAAAATTAATAAAAAAAAGAACAAGACCGAACTTAAAAAAAAAGTTAAAAAAATGTTTGAGTTTCAGAAAAAAAGGTCAAAACTTGAATTTTTTGCACCATTCGAAAGAGCATGAAAAAACCTTTCAAAAACATATAGGACATATTTTTTTCTTCTTTCTGTTTAAAAGTTACAAGTCTTCAAAAATTCACTGTTTAAATTTTTCAAAAAATTTCAACCCCCTCCCTCTTCGACAATTTTTGAAAAATCCTAAAAATACTTCATGATTAAAGTACTCACCCCTAGGGCTAAACTATGTGCTAGTTATAGCCTGATCCGATCAACTTTTTTTCACTTATTACGCTACAGGAATTTTACCCCATATATACTTCACTTATGTGATTTTTATAATGATCTTTTGTAAAAATATCAGTGGAATTGTGTTTGGTGCGGCGATGTTCAACCCAATTTTCCGACAGGACTTCATTATTTTTTTTGGTAATTGTCCAGGGCGATTCACGATTCGCCGCCAACTCATCCCCGTGTACCTGCTCAGCGGCAAATTTTCGACCCCGTATGTTCCCCCACTACCGGCCATACTGTAATAATTAATTTTCCTAATGTGTAACAATTCGTAAATGTGTGTCATGTGTATTTGCTTGTGTACAATTTTGTAAACTATATGTTTAATAATGATTTATTTTTTTTTAATGTCTCATTCCATGCCTCTATCCGTGGACCAGTTGTAACTTCTGCATATGTTCTCGAAGTGTCTGGATAAAATTTCCCTGTTAAGATACTCGTTGACTGTTTGCACTTGATGATAAAAATTCTCCTGGGAGTCGCAGGTGCTGCCCGTAAAGCATTTCCGCTGCGATTGATTGTAAGTCTTCCTTCCAAGATGATCAAACGCCGAGCATCACTGACGGTAAGATCTCTGTCCAACGTGAATCACTGTGACACTTAATTGCTGCTTTCAGTTGTCGATGGACAACTGCAACTATAACTCTTGAGAAAAATCCTGAATGTGTCTCACCGGGTAACGGTCGGGTATCGTTCGCGAATTTACTTGCCTTGTGCAAGTGCAGGGGCGAAGACCGGGATGCTTTTGAGGGTCTTGCTTTTTCTGTTTTAATCATGTTACCGAAAAGTAATTTACCCGCCTTCAACTTATCGGGGGCATATCGCCTTTGCTTGTGGGATACTGGAGGCCCTGGTGTCGTTGTGATATGATGGACCGTATTATGCTTAACCTGCGGAATGCCTTCCAGTCGCGTTATACAGAGAAATTGGGACAAAAGTTCGTGATAAACGGTAGATCTTGTCACAGTTTTTACACTAGCTATTTCCTCGATGACCTTTATACCAGACACACTTAAATTAGTTATTTCGTCGAGTAGTTTTTGTTGTTTTACGTCGACTAAAAGGTTATAGTGTCTCAAAAAATCCACTCTAATAATCGGTTTTGTCACTTCCGCGACGACGAATCTCCACGTAAAATCCCGACAAAGTCCTGAGTCTAATGTCATCATGACGATGCCGTAAGTGGGAATCGCAGTACCGTTAGCCGCGGAAAGTTCATATCTTAACTTTTCTCTCGCACAAAGATGCGGCGCGACGTCGTCAGGCAAGAGTCGTCTGCCGCCATTAACGACTGCCCGGGGTGTTTCCCGATTCGAACTTACACGGTTTCACGCATTTTAATGCTTTCGCTCCGAAGCGAGCATGGTACCAACAGGATCCATCATCTGCGTACATTCCGCGCGATTTCGAACGCGAACGCGATCTTTGACGGAAATTCAATGCGCGGCTGCGGTTATCACTCACTTCCTTGCGTAAATTCGCGATTTCTTCACGTAATGAGAGCACTAATTTCCACTAACGAACCTTCACTTGAAACCTGTGCAACGGAGTGACGGTCATCCGCTAATTGTTCCAACGATAAGGTAGTGTACCCGGCTAGGGAATGCTGCATCCGAGAAGGCAGCCTTCCGAGCCATAAGGTTTTTACTAGTGATTCCGATACCGCGGAACCCGCGAGAGATTGGAGGTGACGCAAAAATTGAGATGGCATGCGATCACCGATTTCTTCCCGCTCTAAGAGCTGCTGAGTTTTCCTTTCCTGTGAAGAACCTAACCGTTTTATCAGTTGAGATTTCAGTGTGTCGTACGCGTTATTTTCAGGTACGTTAACCACAATATCGCGCACTTCATTTGCAACACTAGGGTCCAACGCTTTTATCACGTGGTCGAACTTGCTCATGTCGTCCCTTATGCCTGCCGACGATAAGAATCTTTCCACTAACGAAAACCAGAATTCTGCAAGAAATCAGACAATTATAGTGAAATACTAAAATATTCTAAAAATCAGAGTACAACCTAAAATTATAATAATTTATAGTTTTGTAAACTATATGTTTAATAATGATTTATTTTTTTTAATGTCCAAAAATAAATTAAAATCATTCAAGAAGACTTGATCGCCACAAATATTATGAGATTTACTGTTTTTATACTTTCAACATGAATCCCTTGATGTTGACTGACTCATCGGTGAGTCGAACGTGACTGCGTTTGTTCTTTAATGGCAGAGAGATTGCAGTAAATACACAGGTACACAAACAATTTTTTTGGCCAAGACACTACACTAGTGTATTCCCATGTATTTTTTCCTGCACGGAGAGAAATTGACAGTGGCGGCGACTGTCGCGCCATTTCTGGTGACTATACCGTTTAGTAGATTTTCGACGAACTAATTTAACAGTGGGATTTACTAAACAGCCGTTTTGTAGCTGTGACATATTAACTGTAGAGTAGCACCAACTGTTAAAATTGTCAAAAAGTTAAAATGGCCGCCTTTGTTGTGAATATGCTGAACATAACCTACTCTACGTGATTTAAATGATTTAAATTTACTGTTTCTTGTAAAAATAAATAATAAAGTATAGGTAAAGTTTAAATAAACTATCATTAATTTCTAAAAATTTAATTTAATTTTTAAAATTGGAATTATATCGTGGAAATAAGTAAATTTGAACAATCTCAGTATATATCGTATTTATTTATTAATTACACTTTTTTCTAATTATAATTAAAAAAAATGTTAATATAAATAAAATTAATATTTTAATAGATAAAGGATGTTTAATAATGTATTTTAATTAATTTAATAAATAATTTGAAACAATTTAATTAAGAATATAAACTTAAAATATATGTATATTGTTATGGATAATAAAAAATAGTTATTTGATAAAATTTTTTGAAGGCTTAAGATTTAAATTGAATATTATAGAAATCAAAATTTAAAGATTTTTAAAAATAATTAATTATTATTATATTAATTAAATTATTATTATCTTTTAAATATAATCAACTTACTTTGGTCAAACTGTTACAAAAATATAAGTGTCCGCCATTTTCATAACATAAAAACTAGTAAGAAGTGGGGAGACTGAGCAGTCGCATTTAATCAACTGGTAGTGTTGGCAAAAGAACCGTTTAGTAAATTCAACTACAAGGAACTAAACGCTGTTTAGTAACAGTGAATGCTAGTAAAGTTATCCTAACAATATTTTTGCCTACTAAACGCGTTTTGTAGCCATCACTGAAACTCTTCTCTCCGTGTGATGAATCCGAATTCGAAGTCAAAATTGTCCGATTGACTCAAAATTTTGAGATAAACTTAAACAACTGCTTAAAAAAAGAATTGAAATAAAAAGAAGGAAAATTTGTTTGGCCAAGACACAACACTAGTATATTCCCATGTATTTTTCCCGCTGAATTCGAATTTGAAGTCAGAATTGTCCGATTGGCTCAAAATTTTTGAGTATTTAAAAAACTGCTCAAAGAACGAATTAAAGTCAAAAGCGGAAAATTTTTGTACAATGACACTACGCTAGTATTGTTTGTCGGTGGTATCAAAAGTAAATTTCAGACAGGGATATCCAAAGCTTAAGATAGAAAAAAATAGTCTCATTTTTGTTGCATCTCAAAATAAATCCATGTTACATGACATAGAATCTGTTTGACTCGTTTCTGATGCGTATAAAATTGAATATGAATTTCATTCTCATTTTGATACCAAGTTTTTTAAAGGAGGTAAATTTAAAATGTAGATTCGAACTAAACAGGAAAATGATATCATTGTAATAGAATAAGGTTTCGACCAATAAATTCTGTTTTACATTTGCAGTTTTTAATATTTTTTGAGTTTTGATTAAAATTTTGAGATAATCTGACAATTCTGACGTCGGATTCGGATTTATCAGTGAAAAATACATGGGAATACACTAGTGTAGTATCTCGGCCAAAACACTTTTTTTGTGTGCCTGTGTTATTGTTAATCTTTGATTCAGACATTCATGTTTGTCGTCAACTACTAAAGATTTGATTACATGATTAACAATCGGCACACAGTGAAATAAAATATTTTAGCTTTGGAATAATTACCATCGGTATGTACTCGTAAAAGGGACCATTTTTTGTAATCTTTTAAATGACAAGGAAGATTCCCTTTATAAGAATAGATTATTAATATAAGATAGAAAGGTTAAGCAAGGACGGATACACAATCTTTGATAAAAAAAATCTTGAGACATAATCTAGACAAGTTCAAAAGATTTGGTAGCTTTAAGAATACCTTGTTCAGATAGTGTTATGTAATCGACATCAAGGTCGATGGGTGAAGAGTAGTTAAGTGAAAGAGAGGTAGAGTCGTGCTACATTGAAGCTGTCGAGAAAGTGCTTATATCGAAAGCATTAACAATTCTTTGTGGTGAGTCTATAGGCACACCCCCGTACTTCATCCTTTGAAAAAAGATGAATAAATTTTAAAATTTCTTACACTTATATAAGAACACTGTTAAAAAGATTCATTCACATTGATTCATTCCGATTATCCAAAATGCAAAGGATCATTACTACTTATTATTTTAGAAAATTATAAGAATTTATGTTTCTGAATTTATATTAGGTACTATTTAACTTATTATAAAATTAGAACTTTTAAAATAAACATTGTTAACATAATTCTTAGGAAACAAATTTATTTGGTTTTTAACTTTTATGAAATTACGTCATTACTTTTAAAACTCAAAAGAAATATGGAAAGTTTACAAAATAATTTGTAGTAAAAAAAAAATTTAACATAATAAAAATTTGCCAATAGAAATGTTCAATATCAAATAGATACATTATACTTTTATTATACGTACACGTTATTTACTTAATATGTATTTAGTTTGATCTATTAAAAAACTTTAGTCAAATTTAAAAACAAAAAATTTTATTATTTCATTTTAAAGAATGTGTTTTCAAGATGCACCACAGGGAGGTGAGATATTGCATTACTAATTTATTTAATTTTATAAAACAACCTGAAGACTTTTATTTTGGACTTACTTTGAACCTATATTAACGTCATTTAAACCTATGACCCTAATTTTGTGGTTATTTCAGTATTTTTCTCTATGACTTTGACTAAACTTTGAGGTTATGTTTGCCTCCACGCCTATGACCTTTGACGTAAAGAGGCTATGTTCTCATTTGACCTATGACTTTTAAAATTTTAAGAAGGAGGGTCATCTTCTGACCTCTCATACTATAATTTTGAGGTTATGATTGTCTCAACTTTGCATGACCCTTTAAAAAATGCATGCACTAAAGAAATGTGAGAGCCATTCGTTGTAATGTCTGTACTTAAGAATAATATTTATTTCTATACAAAGTACTCTATTGGACAGTCTGACGTCCCATACTTCTCTCTGTGTGACGGTTAGTTTATAATATTTTCTAATTGTGTTAGGAAGTACTAATCGTAGTATCTCAATAAAGTTTCAAGGGCGGGACTCTGGCTAGAAATTTCAGGAAGTAAAGCATCCTATATTGAATTATATACATGCAGGAAGTTAACTTTACATTTTAAGTGAAGCAAAAATTAAAAACAACTTTTTGATTCATATTTAATTAAAAATAAAGAATTTTTCTCATTTCCATGAAAAATTTTAAACTTTTAATTTATTCATAGAATAGTATTAATAATACTGATAATAATTAATAAAGGTAATAATAACAATATCATAAAAAAATTTTTTTTACATAAGGAAACGATTTTTATCATTTTGAATGAAAAAAAGTAATTTTGCATGATAAACCTACCCTTACAGTAGTTACCAAGGCAATGGCAATGAAATCATTGATAAACGATTGAAAATGCTTGTCAATATGAAGACAGGCGTGGTGCTTTTATTTATCAAAAGAAGATACTATGTAGTTCATGGTCATAGTGATAGTAGGAGTGCAAATTACAATGTTAAAGATTTTATCTCAACATTAACAGAATGGTCATTGTTTCATAGAACATCGACTCTAATAATTGCATCGAAACCCATCAGTTTTTTGTTTTTATTTTTTTATTGTTCTTCTTTCATTTTTCAAACAAAAAGGAATTGTTAAAAGATTATTTACAAAAATGAAAAAAATATTACAAATTCGAAATTTCGGTTTCATTATTTATATTTTAAATACG